GAAGTAACTGAGTTACTTTTGATAGAAGTAACTAGTAATGTAACTAAGTTACTAATTTAAAGTAACTTACCCAACACTGCTGTTTTACTCAGTGTAAGGTTTACACACTAAAACTCCAAAATCTACTTGGTTATGTTGCATTTAAATGTGATCCCAGGGGTCGTTTTTTTAACCATGTGTATTTGAGCAAGCAATTTCTAACTATTAGATACCACAGGCTTATTTTTAAAAAATATATTTGATGCCCTTGGAAAAGGAACGAACTTGCATTGCAGGAATAAAACAGTTGTTTACCATAATCACCAGTCTCCTAACTCTGGGACTGTAAGAATTTACACCAGAATAAACAATAATGTATGCAATAGTTTCTGAGATACTTTAATCTGGACTAAAGTGGTGGAAACGCTGCAGCAGGCCTGATACTTATAAATTCCTATCCAGCTTATTATTTTAAGTAAAGGACAACAATTTACAAATTATTTCAGAAAAATGAATCATGAATGAATCAGTGCTTTACATTTATAGCATATTTAAGAAGTCACTGGAGAAACACAAGGCTGTTTTCTATTTTCCTTCCATGTGGGCTACTGTTACGCAGAATCAGACCCTATTCAACTCCCACACTCCTATATTTAACTGGAACACAAGTAACACAGCATCAGTGCCCAGCACATTCACAGAATAGCTCTCCATGTTTAGACAAATCCAAACGGGCACATTTCCGCGACACCTTAAAAAGATAAATTTGGTAATGGTGGTAGTGGTGGTGGCGGTGCTGTGACTGTGTCTAAATCTAGAAAAAAACAGAAATAGAAATGAAACTGAGCTTTATAACCATACCGCCTTCCCCTGTCCCTTTCTCCCCTCAGGCTCTATGACGTGACAAGAGTCCCCCTCGACACTCTTGCACTATGGAAAGCATTGATGACCCCTTGACAGACAGCCAATTTCCAGCTACCACCACCACCACCATTACAACAGCTCCGCCCTTACCTTGGCCTCAAAGGCAGGAAGCAACACAAGCAGCTACAGAGCACCAAGAGCCTTGTGAAGGCAGTAAGGTACAAGACAAATCCCTTGAATTAGAATCAAGAAATCCTTAAATGTATGACTAGAGCCTGACTGATATAGGATTTTTGAGACCGATACTGAGACTTGGTGATTAGAAAAAAGATAAAGATCTGATATACTCGTTTATATTTTCATCTTTTTTTCCACATTCACATCATTAAATATAAACAGACACACATATATACACACATTTGTCATATATTTGGTACAGTTATTTATGAGTCCTTAATAAAAATAAAAACTATTATTAGCTGTGCATATTCGATTGAGGAGATTTCTTAAATCAGATGGCCTTCTTAGTCCAACCCCATACTGAATGTGTCTCATCCCAGAGTCAAAGTGAGGATCTAATGTGTACAAGCTTAAATATATATCATTTGTACATTATAACTGCCCAATCAACAGCTACAAATGCCGATACCAACGTATCGGCAAATAAAAATATCGGCCGATGTGTCAGTCCTGCTGATATATCTGTCGGGCTCTGTTTTATAACATCTTGTAATGAAGGTAACTTTCCACATGACCTTACAGAGGAGACTGATCTTGCCTGTTGCTCACGGTCAAATGTCTTAAAAGTGTATGAAAGTCATTACAACCAACATTATGAACTCATTACAACACTAAGACCGCATCTTTCAGCTTTAGCAGAACACACAAACAGCAGGAAGCATAGACTCTCATAAATCCTGATACAATTTAAGCGAGCGTCTGCTTGTTTGATATCCTTGTTTGGCTTATGTATTTTACCATAAGCTGACAATTTCCCTGGTGTGTGTTTAACCAGAGAAAATCCATGTGTGCAGCAAACCCCCCTCAGTGTATTCTCAGCCTGCTTTATTGGCATGCCTTGTATATTGTTTTAAAGTCTTGTGTCAGATGGTGGCTGTGCACTTAAATAAAACAAGGCGCCAGACAGACTCTGATATTAATAAATAGTGATCGGGAAATAGAGAGTGGCCATGTAATAAATTTAAGGTACAGCAATATAAAAAAGGGATAAGGCCAAAGTCATAAAAACGGCCACTTTTGTGGAGTCTTTGAGAAACAGGCTCTTCTTTTGGTCAATACTGTCAGTGTTTATGGCCCATGCTATAATTTGCTTTTGAGGGAAAATGTGATCCTGCTGCTTTTCACTCCAGACAGCAAGTCTTCAGTAGATTTGGAGCTATAAATAGAAAAGGGGTGGAATGTGTGTGGTGAACTTGGGTCTCTGCACAGTGCATCAAAGAGATTATTGTCTATTTACTCACAGAAGAGGCCATCTGAGATTGGATTTAAACATTTGATCCTTTAATATATATTCTGAAGGAAGGCGATTCTGCATTGCCTGCAAGCAGCTGATCTCACACAGAGCCACGCAACGCAGTAGCTTTACGATTGAAGATAGTATTGAAGAACACGTTGGCAACATTGTCACCAGCCTGATGCCACCGTGGTTAAGTCTGTTCTAATACTCCACTCTTGAGCATTAAGTTCTGATCATATTGTAGAATGCAGATAGTGAACTGTGTTTGCTTTGATGTTCTGAAGAAATGCTGTATGAAAGGGCTGATAATGACATAACACATAGCTTTGAACTCTTTCCTAATGTGGAATGGGGCCTAGTGTCTGGAGGCGCATGCATACATGTTCATGTATTTTGATCTCAGCATCTGCTTCAGGCATTATCCAACTTCACAGCATGTAATGAGCGATTTCCCATCCCTTATTAACCTGTGGATCATTCCTAGCCAACAAGTTCACTTATGAATATTCATCTGGAATCATGTTGTGCCGCTCGCCTGCTAAAATCTGAAGAGAGAGCGCGGGCTCAGCTGCACAAGACTTAACGTTAAAGGGTGAGCGCAGAGACGAGCGTTAGAAACGAGCAGGAGATCCAAAAGCAGATGCACTGTGGAACGAGCTGAACGGGAGGGCTTCAGCAAAGCTTCCGGCGAATGTACAAAAACACATCAATTAATCCGCTGGGTCCTCTTGAGATTTTGCATTATTCCCAGCAAACAGTGCCTCGATGAAGAGTGCGGATAGGCAAAGTGGATCAATTTTCTTTCATGCGCACCCACCGACTTGTTCCCTCGTGGGTCACATGGCCGTGACATTTCGAGGAAAGTCAGACAGAGAAGAAATGTCAAGCCAGGGCCGTATGTCCAGGTGCATTCGCTTTCAATACTTCCAACTCGCGAAAATGCTTTTATTTAGAGCAGTGCGACGCAAACGAAAGCCACTGCCACATGTATGCACATTCTCATTTTTGTTGCATTAAAGTGCTTCAGCTGTGGCCTCGAGACAGGAAGCAGTCTGTACCGTCCCTGAAATCAAATGTTTTCCGCATCCTCGATCAAAAGCTGCCGGGCGCGTATCGATAAGTATCGAGTGGTTTGTCTGCTTGCTCCATAAGAAGAGAAATGCTGCACAAATTACACATTAACACAGATGGATTCAGTGCACGATGCTCCCTTCTGTTACTATGACACCCCCAGCAGTTATCAGTCTCAATCGAAAGTCCAATTCTCGCTCTTACTCGAAGAGCAAGGCCACCGTCCTAAACGTTTGCCCGGCATGTTCAATAGCCAGAGAACCGCTGCATAATGTTTCCCTCTACTCTGCACCAGAGTGTAAAGTATTTGCTCGCTGTCTGCGTAGCTGCTTCCTGATAAACTCTAAGTAATAATCACCCAAGGCCTGTGAATGTTATTCACGGGGCAGATTCATCTCATATTCGTCTGACATTCGCTGCTGTTTTTAAATGGGAAGGCTTGCGTTTCCCTGAGACGAGATTTGCGCGGGAGATTTATGAGAAGCCGTTCGCAACAGTGTGGCTGTGAAAGAAAAAGAGGGAGCAAAAAACAAAACAAAACATAAAGACGATATTAAAAAACAAAAATCCACCATGGTAGACACACACTATGTGGCTTGAATAAAACAAGACCGTGTCTATATGCTGTGTCTGCTTGAAATCACTTGCATTGTATTTCTTTTCTTCCACATCTTTGTGCGACTAATTTATCCTCCTTCCATTTTACCTGTGGCTTCTTACTACTGAGCTGTAGTCTCTGTGTGCCCTCTAGGAGGCACAGAGAGAAACTGTGCTTATTATGCTAGGATTAAACACCTGTTTTGGCCAGGCATCACAGTCAAGCAGTTAGCAAAGTCATGGCCCTGCTTTAACCAAGTAAACCTTTGGGTCATTCCATGCCCAGCTCCAACAAAACCACGACATTATCTCCATTAAAGCCCGAGCTCACTGAGATGTTTATTATTCCCAGAGCATAAGACATTGTCATCTGTGATACATGCTAGAACCCCGTTCAACACCTGCCCCTTTCATGGTAATTTGCACCCTGTGAAATCATCAAGAGTTCATTATTATGAATTAAGCTTCAGCGGCAATGTCTTGGAAGGCATCAGCACCTCTATCAAGTTGGCTGTGTGACTGGCGGGGGCCAGATGGTGAGGAGGCTCCGAGATTTGTCTTTCTGCTGCTAGATTAATTGTTTTTCAGTGTCTGCACTGTGAGACTTGTTTTGTTACTGGGTTATATCCCCTGAAGAGTTCTAAATATTTGACTCGTAAAGCTCACATACAATCCTGTAATTAACATCTAAGTCTGGCATGGAGCAATAGTCATGTGTGATGCTTATGTCAACACAATGGCTGCAAAAAAATATTTTTTTTCTTTAGGAGAATAGACTGGCATACTGAGAATGATCCCTATCAGCTTTGCTGCTGAAATTTCAGTGAGATGCCACTCTCGTATGGTTTTGTTAAAGGGTGCTTCAAGAGTAGCCACTTAGCGTTGTTTTATTTTTAACATTATGGAAGAGAAGGAAAGGAACAGTTTGCTCTGCTCTGTTTTTCGAATGGACCAAATGTAAGCCTTGCTAGCTTATCTTAGAAAGAAAACAATTATGTCAAATGTCCCTAAAGATCACCATAATAATGAAATAGCTCCAAATGGTAGAATGCCATTTTTATATATTTATTAATTAATGAGCTTTTGAGATGTTTGTATGTGACCGTTAATATTTGGAAACTGCAAGGCTAATCATTTAATTCTGCGTAGTCTTTTTGATAAGCTGAATTAATCGTAAACCAAGCTAGAGCCCTTATTTCTCCATATTTTACTCCCAAAGAAACAAACTTTCTTGTGATTTTTGAAAGTGGTCTCGAGCAATAGTTCTCCAGCATTTCTGAAGGATTTTCTTTGGATATTGGCTGCTTTTTAAGACATTTTCAGCCCAGCCCTTGGACCTGACCATTTTCAAAGGAATGTTTTTTGTTTTTCCAACTTAAGAAAATTCCACAAGAACCAGACTCTTTTCAGCATGAATACGATCACAAAGACACAGACCATGCAAGAAGCCATACCTGGATAGAACAGCATGCAATAGAACGCCATCAGTCATGAATTGGCCTCCCTAGAGCCCAGACCTCAAAATTACTGAAGTAGTTTGGGATCATTTTCATAGGAACAAAAGGCAGCCAACATCCAGAGAAAACCTTTGAATGTCCTTCAAGAATCCTGGAGAACTATTCCTGAAAACTATTTAAAGAATTGACAAGGAAGCTTGCATAAGAGCACTCAGGTTGAAGAATAAAGAGGGTCATACCAAATATTGACTTTTAAGATTGCAGAGTTTTGACTTTGAAGACAGTATTTCCATGTTTGTCTGCACATGTTTTCCTAGCAAAATATATAGAATTAAGATCTGACTTAAGACTTGTGCACAGTACTCTATATACACAAGTATTATCAGTCTTGTCATGCAACTCTTGGCAAACAAGTGAATAAGCAGATTGCAAACTTTAATATGAGATGACGGTGCTTATTTGAATGAAAAAGAACATTCCTGTTGCAAATAAAAAGCCAACGTCACATATGTGAATTGTATTTAAAAAGACAATATATTTTCTGTCATTTTCTTTCTGCTGGCTATAGAAGTGAAAATATTTGAGCCAAAATGTTTTTGATACAACACATCCTCAGACATTTCTCTGTGGAGCTGAGCATGACTGTGACTGAGTGCTAAAACAGTTCTCTCATGTTTGCTTTGTTCTTGTTGATTCACAGGTCTCGTAACACAGCCAGAGACGGGAAAACCAGGGAGTGATTGTTTGAGGGAGTCATCTCTCCCTATGACACTGGGCAAACTTACTATAAAACACTTCCTGTTTCCTGTGACTGGCCACCGCGGGTTTCTGACTGCTCCCTCCTGCTATCTGTCGTTGGGTCAACACGTTGTATCCACCTCCTCTCCACTGTTATCTGCCTGCTCTGTGAATTTAGCAGCACATACTCATGCCACGGAGGTTCGGACACCTTAAAATCCCATGAATGTTTTTTTTTTTTTGCCTCACTGGAAGTCCACTGTTTGGAGCTGCTAACTGCTTTTAATACGGGATTTCCCACATCTCTCTCCTAGACTCTAGTGCAGGAGTTCCAGGGCGAAGACGGGGTCATTACAGAACACAATGTGACGCTTCTCAGACCAGCTCGCGAGGCCGTAAAAACCGAACCGAGCGCACTCTGCTGTGAATAGGCCTTCTGCTGGAGTAAACCTCCCATATTTTTATAGACCAAAGAGCAAAACAACAAATATGATCATTATGACAGAGAGGACCATCTGGCAAAGACACACGGAAACGTTGTTAACATGCTTCGAGTGTCGCCACCGACCAACGACTGCCCCCACAGAGACTCGGTGCACAAACGAACCTTTGCAGCCGGCGGCGTATGTGCCGAACACAATCAAAGGAGTACTTTTCAAACTTTACGGACATTTTTTCGCAGACTAAGCTCACCACTGTATTTTGGAACTGGAGATATAGGTACTACATACGTATAACTGTGTATCAAAAAAAAAAAAAAAAAACCAACAAAAAAAACAGAAAAAAAAATCTGATTTGCATTTTTCAGTAGCTACAGTTGGGACAGCTTACAGGAAGAATTGTCGTGTTGATCATGGATACGGAGTGCAAATCATTACCAGAGAAATGATAATTATCTACAGAGAGTATTAAATGCTGTTAAGTCTGAAAAGAAGGCGTAAAGAAAAGTCATTAAATGTATTTTGAAAGGCCCTAAAAAGTTATATATTTAACAGTTTTATATGTTGTACCTTTGTAGAGAAGCTTATTGGACTTAAAATGTGATCACAATGGCAGTTTAGTAGGATGTGAACAAATGCTGTTGTTCTCATTACTGCTGGCTCGTAGTCCCAGGTTTTCTGTTCACACCTCAGTAGCCGCTTTCTTTTCATGATCATCTACAAGTCACTGTCTATCCGAACCATTAATGAAAAAAAAGGAAAGTGACACAATTTATTAAGGACTGATGTGCAGCCAACTGAACATTGTAAATCTATGGTAGTCAGTGGAAGCCATTGAAATCTGCTAATTTGCTATGATATTGTATTGTACACGGTGTGGAATACTGACTCATTTCCTCTCTATGGGTTCTGATCTCTTAATTTATTTTGTGCCTGTGTTTCTTTTTGTTTATTTTTTCTTTCTTTCTTTCTTTTTGCACAAATCCAGCTTCTCTCCGATGGCGATGAATACGGTGAGGAGAGAAGGAAAGAGGAAGCACTGCAGGAGTATCGGTCATTTACATACATTTTATATCATGAAATATTTTAAGAATAAATATATGACAAGAAATGTCCCCTGCAAATTTAGATGCTCTTGATGTTCAAGGTCATCAACAAGAACTTTAATTGATCTTATTCTGGTCTTTTCTAATGAATGTATTTGTTTCTGGCACCAAAGAAGGTATGAAAAAAATTAAAGTTTCCTTTTCCTTCCCAGGTGATTCAGAGGATTTATAGTTAGATTGTTTCCAGGGTAAAGTCCTAAGAAATTCAGTATAAACAACAAAGGGAGTCAAAGCCAGCTCTCGCCTGGCGTTAACATGGGTTTCAGATGAGCCAGCCAAAAGTGGACAAGTAATCACGTCTTCTGTTCACACCTCAATGTTTTTCCAAATGCTCAAGTGAGCTCTTGTGCTTGGATCTAATTTTCCTGCTCTCCAGTGTAACGCATGCTCATCATTTTTGTTTGCAAAGCCACAAAAAACCCCAAAGCAATCAGCCAAACTTTCCAGTTTTTCCAGTGTTTGTTATCTTAACTTTGCAAGTCTCCAAATATCTCTCTAAAGAACTACAGCATGTCTGAAAAATGTAGTTTATGAAACAGTTTCAGATGCTTAGACTGCAAATAAAAAGCACGCTGCTTTGTCCACCAAACTTGTCAGTCATGAGGGAAAGCTCCCATATAGCCCAGTGACCTGGCCAATCCAACAGTAGAATTTAGTCTGAGCTGATAATACAGTGTGCATTGTAAATAACTCATAGTTTCTTGTAAACATTGTTAAGTTTTTAATCAGAAGTTCAGTCACTCACTGAGGTGCTACAAGTGACTATTTATGTATTTCCATTGTTAGCTAGTTTTTTAAGACCCACACTGATTCACAACAGGTCACCACAGCAGATACATCTTTATTTAGACTTGCAATATTTTTTTTTACACTCACATCCTCTTCCTAGCATAATCCTACCAGAGATTTATATCTTTTCCTAATATTAAACTGCAGATTTTACACACATCATGTTATTGTAAGAAAGTAAGTAAATTAATTTTTATAGCACATTTAAAACCAAAGTGCTTTATAATTTAAAAAAATAAGTGTTTCTGAAAATTTCACAACACAACAAACTATTGTTCAGCAACAGTTCAACGATCAGTTGAAATTTCCTTCTGTTAAGAAGCTAGAGATAATTGACTAACAATAGTATAAAGTGTATTACAATGGCCCAGACTGTTACATTCCCAACCGTTCTGCAAATACTAACATTGCTCTCTGGCACTAGAGCTCACCTTTCTCTGGCCTTAAGTGCTTTTAATTGCTGATGGGAGTCAGATGTGCAAAAAGAAGATGGCATTTAAGGCAGGAGAGATAGTAGGACACACCCACATGGGCAATTTCAGGAGGAGACCCTGCTAGGCTGCTAGTCAGCCGTAACACAGACTAAATGAAAAAAAAAAGTGCATGCATGAGCCTTTCCAGATCTAAAGAAGATTATAGTCTGCTCTTGACCACAGCATTGACTTGGTTGTTCAATTTCAAATTGGTGTCAATGATAATCCCAGGGTTGTTAACCTGCGTTTTAATAAAACTAAAGATACCCAGTTATCTTTCAACCTCTCGGTTAATAATAGAGGGCCAAACAATATGACGTCTGTTTTGGACTTTTTATATCCAAGATGCATTGAGCCTTCACATGCAACCGTGATTTATAAGATTCAAAGGTAAATCCAGTTGCAAATCATCTGCATGGCAATGAAAAAAGATGTTATCTTGATGCAGGAGCATGTACAAGGAAATAAAGAACAGGCCCACAGATAGACCCGGATTCTGAAGCAGTGACTTTTCAAAGTTAACTGCAAAAGTCGTGAGTTCCATATAAGATTAAAACCAGTTAAGCGCCAAACTCTTGACTCCTACATAGTGTTCCAGGCGCTTAATGAGTAAATCGTGATCAGCAGTGTCAAATCAGAACTAAGATGTAACAACCACTAGAATCAGCATCAAGCAGAATAGCCTTTGTTGCTTTGAAAAGAACAGACTCAGAACTGTGAAAGGCCCTGAAACCTAATTGAAAGGACTCACAGATATTGTACTTGTCTAGAAAGGATGGTTGATTAAAAATGACTTTTTCTAGAACTTCAGCCAAAAGTTTTGATAGAGGGCGATAACTGCTCAGAACATTCACTTCCAAATTAGGCTTGGCTGGACTACTGCATGCTTAACACACATAGGAGCTAAGCTTGCATTTATGAGAACATCACAGCCTTTCATGTCAAAAGTTTCTTTAACAGACCAAAATGGAAGAGAATCTTTTACCAAAGTGGAAAATGTCATGTGAGAAACCAAGTCTAAGAAATGGGAAAAGGAAACAGCTTCAAAATCCTCAGTACCCAGCTGATAAACAAAGGGATTAACTCAATAGGTTAAAGCAGTTGCTTTAATACTTTAAACCTTATTAAGAAAGAAATCCCCAAATTCTTTTTTTAATATGTATATTTCAGGATTTTTTTTAGGATTATGACTTAGGATAGAATTTGTCGTATGAAACAAAAACTTTGGTTTATGTTAACTTTTTTAAACCGAACCTGTAAAAAAAAATCCCAGCTTTGCAGATCCATCTAGAAATCTAAGTAAGTAAGGTTTTAAAATCTCCATTATACTTGGAGCTTATCCTTCCTCCATCTGACTCAGATTTCCTGACGCTCCTAACAGAATCACTCTACAAGGCCTGACTTTAAACCTACAGTAGGGCATCTAATTCTAAGCCGTGAAGCCAAGTCCGATATATATGAAAAGGATGTGCTGAAGGAAGCGGTGAGCTCTTCAACCCCAAGCTTGGAAGCAGCAGAAGACACAGAGTTAGAGCAGGCAAATGCAAAGCGAGGAAGCTGTGGTAGGGCCGTGTTTTCTGCGCAAACATTCAGCAGTTCTGGAGACCACAAGATGAGAGTGTACAAGCTACCATAGCCTTGTTAGGACAGCATACATGGATATAAAGTCCAAAATCAAATGCAGTCATAAAGTATAGGAGGATAAAAGATCTGAAAATGAAAAAGGTTCAATGTTAAGAATAAGTGATTCAAATATAGTTTTTTCGTAGAGATGGATGACCATTTAAATCCTACTTCCGGTAGCCTGTGGTAAAAAAAAAAGAAGTACAGTGTGTGAAGCATAGATCTGAGAATAAACTCAAATCATCACATCGCAGACGAAATTCTACTAAAAATAAGAAGTTCAGCGTTTGAGAAGTGAAAAAAAGTAATTTAAAATGAAGGCCTTATTTCAGAACCTACAAGACTAGCATTTGCCCAGAGCCACTTTCATTTCATTTCATTAAAAAAAGATTGAGCAGAGACTGGGGATGGATACTGCAGAGGTTGAAGATTATGATACTGAACACCTTTTCTGTATGCCACATATGGGGTGATGATTGGCCTGGGTAAATAGGCACTAAGTGAGCATGGTTTAGGGTTGAGGTTGACCTGATCCATGAATGCAGTCTGAGCCGCTGAAGCTCAGTACCTCTTGGGTACCTTCTGCTTGTGAGATATATATTAATGTTGTATATTATAATGTCATATATTAACTCTAACCTAGGTTAGAGTTAAGTCACCGATGCTTCTAATGATAGCTTTAGACTACAGAATATTTTTGTGTGCTACCATGGACACTGTGTCAAAACCAGGTGATTATAGAGTCATGCAATGTTGCCTTTTCGCCGACTGTGAGACATAACACACCACATATTGTTCTCAGATTAATCATGCCTGCCATATTATAAGACATGTGGGATGTCATCAGGAAGGAGGCACAAACTGTCTTGTTTTACTACAATTCACACTTCCATCTAGCTGCGCTGGCAATATTGTTTCTTCTTCGGCTTGCCATGTCTACAGTTTGTACACAGCTCGGAGGTAGAAAAAACTCTGACAGAATGGTGGTATGTTCTGTGCTCACACTGGTAAATCCCCCCCAAATTCTGGTATGGCAGTCTTTCTGTAAGGATGTTGTGAGACATCCCTAATTCAGCACTGGCTTTCGTTCATTTTGAGATATAACAATGGACTGTGATGCACATTAGCCTATGCCCCATGCACTGTGGTGTCTATATTTAAATTTACACTTCATAGGCCACAGTATCACTGATATTGTGTAGCCTAAATAAAGCATAAAAAATAGTTTCAACTAACAGGAGTTTCAGCTAATCAGATGCTTACTGTGTAACTATCAAGCTGCGGGTTGATAGTTCTTTTTAAAAAATATTTAGCTCTATAAAAAACAGTGCAC